CAAATGCTGCTGACTTCTGCCAGCATTGTGTTTACTCAGCGTTTCTCATCCCAGCACAAGCAAAACTCAAAACCTGTTTAAGAATTCCACAGGAGTATCAAAGAAAATGAAATATACTGACCTACAGAGCCTTCTTCTGAACTTGATTTATGAATGGAGAGCCTAGGACAAAAAAGAGAAATGAACTTAGTGATGTAGGCTTCTCACATTTCATGGGAGCTGTCTGATTACAGCAAATTAGAGTTTCCAAACAGTATATCATGAGCTGTTTTCTCTTCCCTTTTCTTCCCAACACAGCAAGTTGGAAACAAAAACTGAACCCACTGGTCCAACCACAGTAACTGAGTTCCCCTCTTAAACATGCCTTTTGTGACCAACATAGAAAAATACATACCAACAGAAACGTACGGTTAAGGCAAAAGGAGTCTAGGCATCCCTCAGAAAAAACACTTTTTCACATACATTCCCCTTTTCCGTTTGTAAAACAGTATTTTGGCTGCCTTAGCAACTGTAGCAGTGGGATGCTGCATTTGTTTAGCTGTATAAGAGTTTTTTGCCTATTTGTTTTTTATCTGAAAATGCTTTATAAATATGCATTCATTAAACTTTGAGAAGCCACTGCATGGAAAAGAGGAGCAGAGATTTTTTTTAAAGACAAGGTGAAGAAAGCTTGTCCAAACCCTATGAAGCGCAACCACAGCTGACTGGAGTCTACAGCTTCTTTCTCCTGAGCCCCTTCTGTGTGCTTTCCCACCAGTGTATGCTCCCTTCCTCAAAAGCTAGCTGGAGAGACTTATTTTAACAGAACATGGACTTTACAAACAACCCACTAAAACAGTAAGTAAACCTTTTGTTCTCGGTCTTTATGTGCATTGAACTAGTTTTCCATAATGGATTCCAACTCGGTGCCAACGGTTCTTTGTGGGATCTGTGATGAGACATCACCCCCCTTCATTGCCTTTTTTTCTGTCTGTATAAATGGAGCTAATAGAAATTACCAAATCTTGTGCGATTCTTTGAAGCCTTCCTATGGGAATCACTATTTAACCAAGCTGCGCCAAGCCAGTGAAATGACTTCTGCCAGCTTCAATGGCTTTGCTGGAGGCTCCAAGTGCAAAGCATTACTGCAGCGCCTTTGCTGAGAGCTCGGCCCCGCGGCACAACAATGCCCTATTGTGCGGTGGCTGTACTGCGGCCACGCAGAACGGAAACATGCGTACCCCAGCACACCAAGAAGACCTCAAGCCAAATCGTTCTTTGAATGAGGCCATATAATAATACACGCATGCCATACTCTTGTTGCTCTCTACAGTCTTTCCACGGGTTCCTTGCGTTTTCTTAGACCCCCAGAAGAGGGCAATGAAGAGTTTCTGATTAATTCAGTAAACCACTCAAAGGAAAATTTTAGTTCAAGCCAGTTCAGAGTTTAGAAGATGTAAGCAATTAGTGGCCAACGTTTTGTAAGCATGAAAAACATGCACATCAATTTGCAACATCATTAAAGGGGAAATGAGACAGTATGAAGTTTCAGTTTGATTTAGTAATTCATCTAGACAAGGAGGGTTTGGCACAGTGAAGCTCTGAAATTCAACCTCCTTTAACCTCAGACTGATTAGAAATCTGATCCAGCACAAACTGCAAACCAATTGAAGCAATCAAACTTCAGATTTGTGTTGCACCAGGCAGAGGGAGACACTTAAGTCTCTTCCTTGCTGACAAAGTTTACCCTTGAAGGGGAAAAGTTAATGATCTAGGTGATATGCCACCAAATGATTAGTTTTTAAGAAGCCTGAATAACAAATGCAGGAGAAAAATACAAACCCCATACTTTCTGGGTAAAAACTCCAGAAAAGTCAGTGTCAAAATTTAAAGACTTTCAACAGGGCCAGGATTTCATCTAGACACTTAAAAGCAAAGTTGTCAGCGAGTATATAAAGGCAAATCAGATAAAAGCTATGTGGACTTGTATATGGAGACAACCAAGCAACAAGAAAGCCAAGCTCTGTTGGAACTGACAGAATTAATCCACTACATGTTTTGCACCCAAGCACAGACCCCACCCATCAAGCAGTTACTCTATTATCTCAGACAAATTTAGTATCCATGAAATGCACCAAATCACCGTCCTTAGTCAATGAAATCTGTTAACGATCAGAGCTTTGCCTCACTAGTGAAATCAGCCTCGAAGTGGCGAGGCAGTCTCTTGTGCTCTTCAACCTCCAAATCCATTTTAATCCTTTTCTTCTCTTGCGCAGTTGCCAACAACGACGCAAGTGAGTAGCAGGTGTAGCGGCAATGTTTGTGGTGTGGACATCTGTTCACTGGGAATTATCATGAGGCCACCAACTCATCATACGCTGGCCTCCAAAGGAGGGGAAGAGCAGTAGGAGCAAACTTCTGACACGCCTGAGAGCTAGATGGGGCGAGGAGAAGAGTAGGATCCACAGCAAGCAGACCACCTTCTCATTTATAACTGATTTAAGAACTATGCCGAATTTCATCAGAGGATGCAAATTCCAATTATCATTTCATGCATTCCCCAAAGAGGAAATCTTCCATGCCTGGCCTGACCTTGAAAATGCTAACAGCTGGTCTGAAGAGATGGAAATGCTGACAAAACCTACCACATAGAGCCTGATAAGGCACTGGCTTTTTAGTTCCACCAGACAACTCAGCCGTTTAAAAATCCTCAGTGAAATCAATCAAGTGTTTTACTTCCTAGATGTCTGGTGAAAAATTCCAGAGAACCTCGGAGTCGCTGTATGTTTGATTTGCCAATTACACTCCCTTACTCTGTTAAATCTGCAGCTCCTCTGTGAACGTGCACTGGAAGTGATTTGTGTTCTTCCATTCATAGACTGATAACTTGTACTGAAAGTTAATGATGCAGTGACACTTGGCAGAAGTTTCAGCACTGCGTGTCTGAAAGGGAGCCAAATGCCATTACTCCACCGTGGAGGCCTTCATTTTTGTTGTGGTCTGATGTACAACTTCATTAGCAAGCTTTCACATGAAAAGTACTCTGTCACAGCATATAGCAGAAGAAATGTATGGCTATATGTTCAGCCAAGAAGGAAGAAAAAAAGATTAATGGCCAGAGGGAAGGAGTACTTTCTTATCAACCCATAATCTCTGGAAGCAAGCTACAGAAGGGGTCAAAACTTTAATCCATCTCACAAATTCAAAACCATCTCTAGGCTGATACTTCAGGCCTCTTGGAGCCAAACTGCTAAAAGAAACAAACGAGTGGGGAAAAACCAAAAGAGGCAGCACAATAGATAATCTAAAACCGGAGCTACTTTGGGGAGTAACCAAATATTACTGCCTTAGAGAGATGATGGGTTTCTGTGGAGTTTGTTGAATTACATCAGTAACTCGGCGATCAGTGACACAAAATTTAGTAGCAACAGCCGGAGTGGAGAACCTGGATCAGGAACTAGCTGATTAGAAAGTCTGTCTTAACAAAAATGAATTTACATTCAATGCTAAAACGTCCAAGTACACAAAGAGGACTGACAGAAAAGTCAGTCTTTCAAATGCTGGAAGTTTGCAAATTACAAGAGTACCTGGAGATACCAGCTGATGAAGGATGACTGAAAAAAACCCGTTAATCCCAAAAGGCACAAGGATGGGAAATTCCACTGGCAGTACAAAGAACGAATGTATATGGGAATAGCTGTACAACTGTCATTACTCACGCTCAAGAAAGATGAATTCAAACCAGAATCGGTAAAGAGAAAAGCTGTTAGAAGAGTCAGGGAACGGGACGGCTTATCTCACGAGAGAAAGCTGGTAAAGTTTTGCCTCTTCAGTCTGTCAAAACTGAACGATGCAAGAAGATTATTTTACTGCCTATTAATAAATCAGGCACAGGAACAAGTAGACATAAGCTGGAAAGAAATTAGAAAAGAGGAGTTAACATTTCCTAACTATTTGGACAAACTTCCAACAGCAGGTAGAGAAAGGGAGGGTAGCTTTAAAAACTTTTAAGAGGGTGCTTCAAAGATAGAGACAAGACCAGACGTCTTTGACAACAAAGATCTAGACACGAGGACTGCCTCTGGAGGGCACTTCTGGTTCTTCTTTTGCAGCCTGTGGGTTTTGTATGAACAACAGCAAAGCCAGGCATCCAAAATGGTCTTTGAATCTATCTTTCCATAAAAGTGCTGCAGTGGGTCTGGCCGTGTTATACCTAAGCAATCCCTCCCTTTTATAAATTAACCCCTGAAGCCTGGATGTGGGCTCCAAAGCTTGGAGCGCAAGGAGGAACCAATGCATGCATTTGCATCGCAAGCCAACTGAGACTGTATCTGATTATTAAGATGGGTTTTACTTAGGCTGTATCGAGCTAATAGGTTAGAGCTTTCCCTGTTAACTCTGGACTGATTCTGATCTTACGGGATTTATTTTGCATACAGAGTGGTTGATTTTACAAGAAACACAGTCATATATGCCCCGAGATGTGAATGTGCTGGTAGACCGCAGAACGGGGAAAAGAAACAAATGACACCATGTGCTGCTTTCATGAACGCGCCTCTTGATTTTTGAAAACTCATCATTCTCAAAACAGAACAAATATGAGAACTGAGAATGACAGGATTTCTGATGGGTTTTTCTTTCAGCACCAAGTATTTTAAATGCAGATGTGCTTTAACACATGGCCGCATCTAATTTATGGACCATAAAATCCACAGGTACATAGCACCATCTGATAATGAAACCACTACTGTTATGATCTTCAATAAACTGATAGCAGCCCTCTTATTTCCTCCCAATGACTATTTATAGCCCATTGAGGAAAATGCTTTGGATGGGATTTTCAATCTACAAATATTATGCACATTCATAGCGATGAATAAACCAATGCAAAAGTACATGCTGGCTCTGCTGCAAAGCCATTTGGTTATCTGCGTACATTAGAAATGGCCCAGTCACATAATTAGGGTGAAAAACTGACAGACTTGTAACTGCTCCTGACCGAATATAAAAGATAATTTATCTAACTGGAGCCGGCATAGGGAAGAAAACGGGACTTTGGTATTTTTATCAAATTTGCACGAACCTGAAGAGAAAGCAGGCCTGCAAGGTTCTGACCTTGCTGGCACCAGTGTGAGAAAGGGATGGAAAGCAAAGACATTTCATTCAATTATCTTCTCATTAGG